AAAATAGAAAAATTTTTCATGTGAAAATTCCAATTTGAAATATTTTATCTATTTTCGAGTGATTTTTGGATTATTTTTTAAAAGTTTGCAATCATTTGATAAAAAGTTGATATACAAAGCAATTTTCTTTTCATAAATTTATAAATTTAGGACCATCGGAAATGTTAATAAAAATGACGAATCATCCGTAGTGCGTTCATCATAATGGAAATATTATTAATTTATTACATGTAGACCCAAAACATATACAGTGCACAAATATCAAAAAATCGAGAGAAATAAGTTATAGAGAGGATCTTTCGGAAAGTGCAGCAACACCGGGTAGCTCCTTTCCTGGAAATTTTGATAAAACAAATATTAGAGATTTGACAGAATCGAACGATGTCAAGCATACAAAGTATACACACCTTCAAGCAATTCTAACGAAGCACCACCGCCTGTAGAAACGTGAGAAATTTTCAATTCTGCGCCCCACTTTGCGGCAGCAGTGGCGGTATCACCTCCGCCAACGATTGTAATTGCACCATTATTTGTTGCTTCAATTACAGCGTCTAGAGCGGACTTTGTGCCCTTTGAAAATTTTTCGAACTCAAATACACCCGTTGGTCTACGGTCAAGCACGGAAATATAAGGTTAGACATAATTTAAGCGCAAATTTAATAAACGAGAAAGAATTACCCATTCCATAGGATCGTCTTGGCTTCGAGAATAGTTTCTCTAAAGATAATGTTTGTCTTTTCGCCGGAATCAAGACCCAACCACCCGCTCGGAATACCGGTTTCATCAGTAGCATATCCAGTCTGCAAATTTTATGTGATCAGCAAAGAGAAAGGAAAAGCCAATCACAAGAAACTTACGTTTGCATCCTTATGAAATCTATCAGCAGTGACATAATCAACAGGGAAGACCAATTTGACGTTCTTTTCGGTCGCTTTATCTACAATTTTCTTCACAATTTTTGCACCCTCTTCATCGTATAGTGAATTTCCAATCTAAAAAGAGGTTTCAAGGTCACCACAAGCTTATGATGACGATCGATATTCACAGAAAAAGTGATTAAGGAGAAAACGTACCTGAATATTTTCAAGAGTCTTCTTAAAGGTGAAAGCCATTCCACCTATTCAAATTTAAGGTAAATATTAAAAATAACGGGATTG